CACATATCTTATTCGTTTTAACTCGGATTTCAATTTTTTTTTTCCACAGATGGAACAATTCATTGTGCTCTACAAAATGAGATCTATTTTCAATATTTTTTTAGAAAAATTTCTTGCGTCTCTTTACCAACTGCATACCCTATGGTATCTTCTTCGTTTTTAAGTTGTTTTTAATTTTTTTTGCACAGAATGAACTAGTTCATCATGATCTATTGGATCTACAAATTTATGGGTGAACAAAATACCTGACCAAAAAATACCACACAATACCACCCTGGTATGGGGTGGTATCTTGTGCTACACAATGTTGAAAGTCGTCAATGACAGTTAGTATACTCCTACGTACTATCATGTATTCAATCATCCTACTGTCTTGGTATGTTCATACCACCATGGTAAGTTTTTTCATACCATATGGTATGCTATTATTTAATACCAGGTAATAACATAAGGTATATACTGGTAAAAAATGGCTCAAATTTTTTGTTCCAAAAATATATCAAAGTGGATATCATTTTGAAGAACACAATTAATTTGATCTAACCGTGCAAAAAATTTTAAATTCCAACTTAAAACAAGTGAGAATTTGTTCGTTAAACATTAATTGAGAAAAATTAAAAGCTTTCTAGGAGAAAGAAGGGGCGCTGATGTGACAGATGGTGATTGGGTTATGCATGATTACTCACCACAAGGTTATGCATGGATCTGTTCCCGCTCGCCAACAACACTCTATAATCCCATCTCAACTTCCGCCCACTCGCTTCCCTGACTCACCTTCAAATCATCTACCTCAAATCCAACTCGCTCCCCTACTCGCTCCACGATAGGGATGACAACAAAACCCGAATCCACGGGTACCCTACCCGACCAAACCCGGTCAACACGGATAAAACCCGTGTTGACGTGTTTTAGACTGGGTTCGGGTTTAAACTCGTTCACTATTTACCGGGTTGGTTTGGGTTTAGGTATACCCGTCCCATGGATACCCGCCCACACCCATATAATTAATTTTCCCAGTATATTTAATATTCTAAGCAACTAATCTTCTTTATGTTTGTGGAGACATGTCTAATTTTTTATTTCTAATGGTGTAGAATGAAGTTGATATTATGGAGTGGAGAGTAAAGAAGCTTAATTGACAAGGAGAAAGAAGCTTTCAATTAATCATGTTGTTTATGGATAATTTGTGATTTGCTTCAATTTTCTTGAGTTTTCTACATTGGTGTTGAACAATTTGTATGTTTAATTTGTTATTTGCTTGAATTTTTTAGAATAGTGTTTTATATATGGATAATTTGTATTGAGAGATTGATATTTGACTTTTTATTTTGATAGGAACTTATTTTTGTAAATTTTTTACAACAAAAATCCATGTGTACCCATGAACCCGCGGATACCCAGCGGGTTGGGTTAGGTTTGAGTTTTCCAAACTCAGTGGGTTTTACCCTAGATTTTTTTTCACGGATAACCCAATAAATTTGGGTTTGGCAAAGCTCGACCCAACCCGACCCATTGCCATCCCTACTCCCCGATTCCCTCTCCATTTATTTTAGAAACCTCTCCAATTTATTACAGTTAACCAGCAAAGTGTGAATAACTTACTTTTTCAGTTTTATATTCAGATTAACATTGCTTTGGACTAAGGGTGGGTAGTGGGATGGTTGAATGAGTTCTGTGTATGAAATTTATCCACGTACTTACTGAAGAGTTGGCACATTGTGATTCACAATCCACCTACATTCTTATTTGGATTGGGTGGTGGGTGCGGTAGGGTTGTGGTTTAACCCACAAAAGCAATTCATAGACTAGCCATTAGCTACATTGACTAACAACTATAGTAAATTATTCACAAATTAGTTAGATTGTATCAATTTATACACATCCCACTTTATCTCCAGTGTATCTGTCTAGTATATGTATCATATCTTTCATTACTCTATCAACTAATTATGATGAAAAAATTGACGTTATCTGCGATATTTATACAATTAATAGTTTATAATTTGCATTCCAATATATAATGGACATTACATTACATAATAACTAATAATAGTAGCCTGGAAATATTTTTTGTTTCCTCTTTTAGAAGTCGATAGTTAATGTGTAGTGTGGATAGAAAATACAGTGAATATTCAAAAGTATAAACAAGAAACAACACTTGACCATATAGAAATTGAGTGCAGGTCATTCATGTAACTCTCTACCCAGCCATCAATCATCCCGAATAAATACAGGTAGAAAATTTATCGATCTATAACTTATTGATAAACCGTTAATTGCACATGTTTTTGCCCCTATTCTTGAGCCGTTTGAGATGTTGATTCTCGTGTTTTAGGCCGATTTCACGCTAGTTTGTGCTTGTTTGTGATATTTCAGGTCCTAGTACGTGAATGAAGGTTTGGGGGCGAGTTCGGGGTAGATTGGACGAAGATCGGACGTGTGGCGAGACGTTGAGGAAGCCACACAGGCACTCCTAAAACCCACACGGGGGTGTAAGAAACCCATGTGGCCGTGTGGGATTTGCCGAGGCTTCACACGGGCATACTGGAGACTCCACAAGGCCGTGTGTCCCTGGCCGTGTAGGAAGCCTGAAATCCACTTAATTGGAACGCCGTGTTTTGGAACTCACACGGGCAGCTGGGTAAGCCACACGGCCATGTGGCCTGCCCGTGTGATCGAGATTTTCTGGGTTTTAACCCAAATTCGAGCAAAAAGAGAAGGCATCGACTTTTCAGAGCAAAAACAGAGCCCTAGAGAGAGAAAGTGCGAAGAACACATCCTAGAAGCGATCTTGGAGCTGGGTTTCATCAAATTGAGCTTGGAGATCATCATAGGAGTGAAAATCATCATCCCAAAGCAGATTATTCCCATTGTTATGAGTATGACTGCTTTGTATTCTGTTTCTCTCTCTCTCTCTCTCTCTCTTTATGGAGTAGACCCTTCTCTCACTTGGGTATGAAGAACCCTTGTTCCATGTGTTAGGGATCATGATTGTAATGACTTGGGATGATTGTACTGTTTGGTTTTAATCGAATGATGCATGATTTATTGAATTGATTGAAGTCTGATCAGCTTTTCTTGATTTCTGCTGCAACCTGAGATAGATAGAATCTGATTAGGTTGTTAGAGCTTCATCATTTGTTAGTAGTGGATTGGTTATACGAGAGTTAGCCAGTTTACTGCTTTGTACTGGAATCCAATTCCAGTAGTGGAGTTCTGTGCTTATTGCTTTAGCTTTCTATCCCGGTGAAGACTAGTCGTCTGCCGGGTAGTTAGACTGAGAGGGCTTGGTCAGCTTAAGAGATTCCAAGCTACTGTCGGATCTCCCGCATTCAAATCAACAGTAAATCAACCCATGGTAATTGCAACTGAGACCTAACTAAGGAGCTAGGGGGACTCATTCCCGAGTGACTCTTCCTTTGCTTGAGAAAACCAAATCAATTCCTGCTTTCTTACTGCTTTTTGTTAAGACAAAAACCAATCAACTTAGTTTGCTAGATAATAGATACTCACGGAGTAGGCAGTAGATCTACACCCCGGGTTGATATTTAGAACTTGCCACTTTACTGCATTCCCGGATTGCGATTACACTTGGTCGCAGTTTGGTGTTGTGTCGTAGCGTGACACTTATCCATCAAACACCGATCCACTGCCATTTAAATTAGGCAAAATACACTTTCATAGCCATAACTTTATACTTTGTGACAAATATAGCCAAAATTTGAAAAATACACAGAAATATGAAACTATCTTGACAATTATAGCCATTTCCGTTAGAAATATTGACGGTTTAAGAGATGCGGTTAACATCCGTCAACAACAAGTTGAGATGGTGCCTCATCAGTTTCCACATCAACTCTTAGTCGACGTGTCATGCCACAAGTCATGCCATGTCAAATTAAAAATATTGTTAATTACAAAAAAATAAAAAAGATTTTTTTGGAGGACATCGACCAAGGGGGATTTGGATCTTATTGACTGATTCCCCTTCTTTTTTCCAATTAAAGGAAAAAAAATTGATAAAAGAAAATAAGAAGGAAGAAGAGAGGCACACAGCAGCACTGTCGCTGTCAAATTCCCGCCGCACCGTACAGATCTGCCACTGGCCAAAATCATAGCAAACCCACTATCCGCAGCGACGAAGCAACGGACGTGATCCAACCATATCCTATTATATTCATCTTCCCCTTTTCTCGACGAGTTACCCAATCAATAACACAAATCTAGAATCGGTGGATGGTGGAATCAGTAGGGCTCCTCTTCTGCCTTTCCCCCGTCGAGATGTCGATTTTGCTCCGCTAAGTTCGTCGTCAAGCTCTCGCTGGTAGGAGATGCAACTGTGAAGGAGGTGCTGAGATCGAATCCATTCGTCTTCTTCTAGATATGTCTATCTTCTCCTTCCTCTACGAACCCAGGATCTACAATCAGGCCGTAGTCGTCTTCTTACATGCCCATTCATCTTTTTTCCCGATGAGATTGAGAGTCAGAGAGAGAGAGAGTGTCTGCATGCGAGATGAGAGTGAGAGCGGATGGAGACGTGACGACAGGATTTTGCGATTTGTAAGCGACGGGAGCAGGAGGTGTGGAGCTAGGTGTGGGTGGTGTTGAATTGGAATCGATGGGAAGGTGAGCTGGTGGTGCGGAGTTTACGACTAGGTATTTTGGGAATTTGACATGCTGGGTTTCAGCCATGACTGGATAATTGGGGCTTTTAATTGGGATAGATAATCCTCATCTCGCTGCGCTCGTCGATTGAGAGTTGCCGCCGATTTTGAGTTGAGGTGGAAAGGAGGTTGGATTTCTGGAAAGAGGAAAAGAGAAATATGGGAAGGGGCTGATGGGAAAAAATCCAAAACTACCACTGTTAAAAAAAAATTACAAAAATACCACCATTCCCAACAATTTCCAAAAAGATGAAGTTACACGGAAGAGACCGAAATGGTTGTAAGTTACGTCGGTGGCAATTTTTATAAAATGAAGGTCCGTACGAGACCGATGCTTGAAGAGCTCCATCAAATGTGCACTCAGATTACCTGCATGGATGGCACTAGAAGAGTTGATCAAATGGTGTATCGATATCCAAAAAAACATGACGGGTCGCTTTGGAATGATGAATTCCTCCTTACCACTCAGGAGGACGTTGATGCCATGGTCCAATTTTTGACCACCAATAAAATTAAGCAAGCGGAGATGTTCGTTTACACCGAGGCCGTCGAAGGCGGTGTAGGTCATTCTGGAGATGGCCAAACATTTGGTATCCACGGTGGGAGTGTATTATACGAAGATCATCCCCAACAGGAGTACCAAGACTCGAGCTGGAGGCAGAAGTATCATGATGGAACTGGAGGTCATCATCAATCCTTCCCTTCATATGAAGAAGAAGCTCAACAGGCGGATTAGAACCAACAAGCAGGCTACCAGTACCCACCCGAGTACAACTTCTACCAAAGTGGTGTTAGTTACCACGACTACCATTACGGAGCTGGTGAAGGTGAAGGTGCCTTTCATGATGATAATCAGATGGAAGAAGAGGTCAATCCAAGTCCAGTTAGTGACCCTGAGGTTGAAGAAGAGGAAGGCGATGTTAGTGCAGACAGCTTCGATCCTCTGGAAGGTGCTGATGATTCCGGTCCAGATTCAGACGCAGACGGTGATGAGGTACCTCGCGACCATTTACCTATCCCGTACTACAATCACATTCAAAATGACGATTGGTATGTTGATGCCGACATGGACCCGCCAGAGGTGCCATTATGGGGTCCACTCACTGGCTTTACGAAGGGCCAACAATTTGCAACGAAGAATGAGGTCCGACACGCTATTGCCACTGAAGCAATGACTCGGAGTTTTGAATGGCAAAAAACCCATTCCGACACAAAGAGGATGATGGTTCGATGCAAAAATCAAAATGAGGGATGCAAAGCTAGGGTCCAGGCCATCAAGAGCAAGAGAGTCGGCCTTAGGGTCATATCCTGTGCGGTGAACACACACACATGTGTGTCATCAATAACATCTGACTCGACTCTACTATCACTCCAGGAATTGGCCAAGTGTAACCACTTCCTAAAGCGTAGTATAGCGGGTTTAGGTTTAATTATCAACCCAGGTCCTAGATATGATGACTACTCAGTGAATTTGTGTTATCTAGCAATGAAACTGGAATGCAAGTCTAAACTACCAAACAAACAAAGCAAGTAAACTGTTGTATTCAGGTTAAAGAGGTCACCCGGATATGGTTCCCCCTAGACTGCAGTTAAGCCGGATTGTAATTACCAAGTTCAGTTTCTATGAAGATTATACTGCGGAAGGTTCTTAAACAGCCTGAAGTCTCGACTAAAGGTCTTCAGACCCTCTCAATCTGACTCTCTAGCGGGCGACTAACCTCCACCGGAGTCGACAGATTGAGGCCCTAAGAACAAAACCTCCACTACCGGAGTAAATCCGGTACAGAATAGTGAGTTGGCTCCTCGACTAAAGTCACCAACTCCCTACCTTCAATCAAGGATACTCTATTAACCTAGGCAGATATTCTCATTCTAGGTTAAAGCAGAAACAACAGGAATTTGATCAGGATTCAAGTCATTCAATCATTAAAACCTCAATCGAATATAATCAATCACAGAATCAGTATTTGGGTTCATACAATCAAAGCCTAACATACAAATCTAGGGTTCTCCATACCCAGATGAATGGGAGAACTACTCCATAGAGAAGAAAGCAAAAGCAGAATCAGACACGGAATTCATACTGCGAAGGATGGATTCCTGCTTCTGGACGTTGATCGGCACTTCTCCAAGCTCAAGCTGGCCTCCAATGGTGTTGAAGATCAATCTAGGGCACTTGGGAACTCTTGCTCGTCACTTTCTCTCTCTAGGAACTGATCTCTCTCTCAAAAACTTGAATCCCCTTCTGTTTGGCTGAAAATCTGCTTAAAAAGGCATCAGCCAAAGCACGGTCGAGGGCACGGCCGTGTAATGCCTCAGCCCGCCCGTGCTTTGGCTAGTGTTAATTACACGGCCAGTGCATTGGGAGAAACACGGCCGTGCTTTGGTGGAACACGCCCGTACTTTGGCAGAACACGCCCGTGTTTTGTTTTGGCCCTGCCCGTGTAATCAGCTCAGCTCTCGGCATAAAAAGCACGGCCACCAGAACACGGCCGTGTAATGATTTAGGTGTGCCCGTGTTTTGGCTCCAGCTCACCGAAATGACTTCCGAATGCCTCGAAACTCGCGCTTAGCCTTCCCTTTGACACCTGGGACCTGAAACATGACAAAATAGCCCAACCCGGCGTAAAATAGGCCACAACACACGAATATGCCCCTCAAACGGATAAGAACTAGGGGCGCAAACATGTGCAATTACATCGTTATCAAACTCCCCCACACTTAACCGTTTGCTTGTCCCCAAGCAAACCTAACTCAAACCAATGCAACTCTCCAGACCTCCATAGCAACAAACAACCCAGATCGTAAGTAGAGGACTTCCTAGGTCATTTAGCAGCTTACGAGGTCAACCGACGCACAAGTCATCTCATAGCTTCTTCGGCGAGTCGGCATCATGGCAAACAGTGAACAGAGGACAAATGAATTGTGGATGAAGAGATTCTCAAGCTTGTTTTCTGTTATTTTTCTTTTCTTTTTTTTCTTTTCAAGGGTCCCAACCTGCTCTTACCGACCATGCCAGGAGCGGATGTCTCGAGCCTCGTGCGGGGGAAAGACATGTAAGGGGGCTGGAGGTAGTAGGTGGAAATTGGGAACGGATTCTCGTCTCCCCTTACACACTTTCGCCCTATTCGCACGGGAGACGTTATTTTGAAGCACATTTTCGAGCACCTTTTAAACTCAAAACATGATACAAGAGTCCATGACAAGCAGAGAATCCACAACACCACACAATTCAAGGGTCCTAAGATCACTAATTCACTCAATCAACCAACACAATATGAAGAAGAAATGAGACTTCTTAAATGCATCAACATCCTCCTTAGTGCTACACTACCTCCCTAGGTTGCACATTACTATAAAGACTGTCAATTCAAAGCATACTGAGCAGGCAATTGCATGGAAACACGTACTTGGAGCCCTCAAATTTAAAAATTTGGACAGTGGACTAGGCTCCAAGCACACAAACAGATCTAATGCAGTCAAAAGATAAACATCCCCCCCACACTTAAGATCGACATTGCCCTCAATGGAGAAGAGGGAAGGATAAGGGAACGATGTTACCGGTATGCACGGACTGCAGGAGACTGGAAACGGGCCAGTCGGGGCACGCACAGCCAAAGGGAAACAGAAGAGCTCAGACACAATATGTTAGGTTCGATGGTCAGCCCAATAAAATATCATCCAAACCAAAAGAAAACAAACCAAACCCAAACCGGGTTACAATCCGACCCAAAACACAAGAAAGAAAATCAAACCGAGGTGGGGTTGCCTCCCCACAAGCGCTTCTTTACCGTCGTATTAGCTGGACGCCCATGGTGGATACTCAGGGTGGTGCAGGAAAAGGTGCCTCCAAGAGCGGATCCACGTCGCTCTTGAGGTACAACTTCAGGTTGTGGCCCTGCACCCGACGGATGCGACCACCATCATCAGTCAGCTCGACCTGCCCATCTGGCAAGATGCAGGCGAGTGAGTACCCGGACGGCCAGGGTGGTCGTGGTGCAGGAGGTGGGACCAGCTCATAGTGGTCTCCACTCTTCTTTCGTGCAGGCTTAGCAACCTGCGGCTTCGGCCGCCACTCCTCCTTGAGCTTTTTGTTCGGAGGCGAGGCTGGATGGAGTGGCGGCGAAGGAATGATGGGGGGGTCCTGCAAAATAGGAGGTGCAGAAGGGTACATGACAGACTCGTGTACCTGATCAGAAATGGCATTCACAGGCGTGACGGCAATCATAGCACAGTGATCAAACTCAGTCACAGAAAAAGTAGCTTGTTCATTCCCAGCACGCAAGATCAATTTTCCATCATGCACATCAATAAGTGCCTTGGCGGTGGCAAGAAATGGCCTACCTAGAATCAAAGGCACATCCACATCCTCATGCACATCAAGAATAACAAAATCAACAGGATATGTGAATGTACCTACTTTAACAAGCAGATCCTCAATGATACCCTTAGGATGCACGATAGAACGATCAGCTAATTGAATGATCATCCTAGTAGGGCTAAGTTCACCTAGGTCTAGCATTTTATATAACTTATATGGCATGACGTTAATGCTAGCGCCTAGGTCCGCCAAGGACTTGCCTACATGCATGCTGCCAATAGTAAGAGGGATAGTAAAACTCCCTGGATCCTTGCGCTTCTCGGGCAGCTTGTTCTGCAGGATAGCAGAACACTCCTCGCTCAGCATCACTGTCGAAAGATCCCCAAGTTTCTTCTTGTTGGTGCAGATATCTTTCATGAACTTGGCATACTTGGGCATTTTCGACAGTGCCTCCATGAACGGTATGCTGATGTTGAGCTGCTTCAACATTGCCATGAACTTGGCAAACTCAGTCTCCAGCTTGTCCTTGTGTAGGCGAGTGGGGAAGGGAAGCTGGGGTACATGCTCCTTAACCACTGGTTATGGCTTGGGAGCAGGGGCTTCCTTCTCCACCCGCACTTCTGCATCGTCGGCTGGAAGTGCTGGAGCAGGCAGTGGTTCCTCCTGTCTGGCCGGGACAGGATCAGCAGATATGGTCTTACCGCTCCTGGTAAAAATGGCATCCAACTGCTGATGCTGGTGAGGATCTCGAGGATTAGGAACAGTGGTGGCAGGCAGAGTACCCGGTGCCCTAGTGGTGCTCTGGCGGGCCAAGATGCCCACCTAGGTCTGCAGATCCTGCAAAATGGCACCCTGGTTCCGCTGACCTGCCTCCAGGGATGTGATAGCAGCCTGGGTGCTAGTCATGAATGAAGCTAGAATGTTTTCCACCTTCGTCATCCTGTCATCTGGGGCCGGAGCTGCTGCTGGCTCGGCAATCTGGCGCTGGGGCTGCTGGAATGGCTGGCCCTGCCTAGGCTGGTAGGGCTGCTGCTGTGGGTCTGGCCCCTGGCGAGCCTGGAAGGGCTGCCTCTGCTGAAAACCACCTGCTGGTGCTGGGAAACCAGGTGGTTTAGTGGTGTTGCTGCTCCAGGCGAAATTGGGATGCTGGCGCCACCCCTCATTATATGTGCTGCTGTATGGATCGAGGCGCCTCGCATTGGCGATGAAGGCCAACTGCTCCTGGGGTGTGGTAGACTCCCTCATAGCCTGGCAGTCCTCCACTAGGTGATTAGAGCTCTCACACCACTGACATTGAGCTACTGGAGGTGTAGCCAAACCTCTGCCCGGAATCAGACTGTTGGGCTGCTTCAATGTCTGCACTAGCTCAGCTACCTGCTGCTCGAGCCCGGATCTGGTCTCCATGGTGCGCACACCACGGTCCCAGAACTATCTGCCTCGGCTACCCTGTCCCCAAGAATGATCTCTGGCAGCCAAAGTACTGATCATCTGGTTCAGCTCGGGTGGAGTCTTGGTAAGAATATCCCCTCCTGGGCATAGAGACTCAATCACCCTCTGGCTATCTGGCGAAAGGGCACTGTAGAAGTTCCCCACAGTGAAAGCATCACTGAAGCCATGATGGGGGCACTGCCAGAAATAGCCCATGTACCGCTCCCAAGCATCACGAAGTGACTCATCTGGCTCCTGGCGGAAGTGAGTGATCTCCCGCTGAATCTCTGTAGTCTTCGATGCCAGATAATACCTGTGCACGAACTTGTCCGCCAGATCGTCCCAAGAGGTGATGGACAATGGGGGCTGGGTCTCCAACCACCTCTTAGCATTCCCCGCCAGAGAATGGGGGAAGAGATGAAGGCGGATCGCATCATCGGGGACACCATTCAGCTTGAACCCGTTCGTCAGCTGCAGAAAACGGGAAAGATGCACCCTGGCCTCCTCATTCTTCAAGCCATGGAACTGGATAGATGATGTAATGAGCTGAATCCAGCATGGCTTGATCTCAAAATTGTTTGCTGGAATAGGCGGGTAGAGGATGACCGGGCGGATGTCAGCAATCCGCGGAGTGTAGTAGTACTCCAAGGTGGGGCCCGGCTGCGGGGGATGATGAACTCCATGGTCCTGGAGTATGGGGTTGTTCCCCAGGACCTGATTCACCGGGGGAACCTGCTGTGGATTCCCCTGGTGTTGGTTGTAGTCTCCGTCCATCCCGTGCTCTTCTTCAGAATCGCTACTCAGGTGGCCGTCTATGCACTCTTCTGTAGCCAGTCTAGCTCACTGTTGTCTCCTGAGTTGGCGACAGGTGCGGTTAATCTCTGGATTCAACGGCAGTAAACCTCCTGACTGGCTACGGGTCATGCACTACCTGCACACACTCAAGCAAGCAAACCCGTGAAGGCACAAGTGGGACAAAGCAAACAAAGCAAAAAGAAAAGCTAAATTAACAGAAATCACTTTTCTTCAACAACCTAGCCGTCCCCGGCAACGGCGCCAAAAACTTGACTCGACTCTACTGTCACTCCAGGAATTGGCCAAGTGTAACCACTTCCTAAAGCGTAGTATAGCGGGTTTAGGTTTAATTATCAACCCGGGTCCTAGATATGATGACTACTCAGTGAATTCGTGTTATCTAGCAATGAAACTGGAATGCAAGTCTAAACTACAAAACAAACAAAGCAAGTAAACTGTTGTATTCAGGTTAAAGAGGTCACCCGGATATGGTTCCCCCTAGACTGCAGTTAAGCCGGATTGTAATTACCAAGTTCAGTTTCTATGAAGATTATACTGCGGAAGGTTCTTAAACAGCCTGAAGTCTCGACTAAAGGTCTTCAGACCTTCTCAATCTGACTCTCTAGCGGGCGACTAACCTCCACCGGAGTCGACAGATTGAGGCCCTAAGAACAAAACCTCCACTACCGGAGTAAATCCGGTACAGAATAGTGAGTTGGCTCCTCGACTAAAGTCACCAACTCCCTACCTTCAATCAAGGATACTCTATTAACCTAGGCAGATATTCTCATTCTAGGTTAAAGCAGAAACAACAGGAATTTGATCAGGATTCAAGTCATTCAATCATTAAAACCTCAATCGAATATAATCAATCACAGAATCAGTACTTGGGTTCATACAATCAAAGCCTAACATACAAATCTAGGGTTCTCCATACCCAGATGAATGGGAGAACTACTCCATAGAGAAGAAAGCAAAAGCAGAATCAGACACGGAATTCATACTGCGAAGGATGGATTCCTGCTTCTGGACGTTGATTGGCACTTCTCCAAGCTCAAGCTGGCCTCCAATGGTGTTGAAGATCAATCTAGGGCACTTGGGAACTCTTGCTCGTCACTTTCTCTCTCTAGGAACTGATCTCTCTCTCAAAAACTCGAATCCCCTTCTGTTTGGCTGAAAATCTGCTTAAAAAGGCATCAGCCAAAGCACGGTCGAGGGCACGGTCGTGTAATGCCTCAGCCCGCCCGTGCTTTGGCTAGTGTTAATTACACGGCCAGTGCATTGGGAGAAACACGGCCGTGCTTTGGTGGAACACGCCCGTGCTTTGGCAGAACACGCCCGTGTTTTGTTTTGGCCTTGCCCGTGTAATCAGCTCAGCTCTCGGCATAAAAAGCACGGCCACCAGAACACGGCCATGTAATGATTTAGGTGTGCCCGTGTTTTGGCTCCAGCTCACCGAAATGACTTCTGAATGCCCCGAAACTCGCGCTTGGCCTTCCCTTTGACACCTGGGACCTGAAACATGACAAAATAGCACAACCCGGCGTAAAATAGGCCACAACACACGAATATGCCCCTCAAACGGATAAGAAGTAGGGGCGCAAACATGTGCAATTACATCGTTATCAACATCCCAAGGCCATCGACAGTTAAAATCAAGGGTGGTTGCCGCGGCTATCAAACATCTAATTGAGGATGGCGATGTCCTTAAGTGTGATGATGCACTCGCATTCACAAAAATTGAAGCAGTGTCTCCTTTCGCCATCTCTCTACCAATGTTGTGATGAGTTGGCGGTCGATCTTGATTCCATTAAAGTGCCTAATCGAATCCAATCTTGCCCTTTTTAGAAAGGGCAAGATGACGTCGTTCCATTCAAGCACAATCGTCGTGCCCCTATAGCGGACTATATGGTATGCATCCTAGAGAAGAATTTAACTTTCACTATAAGTTGATGATTTATACATATATAAATTTATTATAAGATGAAATATTAATTAAATCAAGGTTGTTTTAGAGGAATATAAATTATCTAATAAGCATTAATTTTAACATAACTAAAATAATTTTCGAAATTTAAGTATAATTTTTTTTGTACACATACACATAAAATCAAATATATTATTTTGTTAATCGTATTGATTATTTTCAATAATTTAAAGCAATACAAGTACACTCGTAAGACTCTTAGGAGAGGTATACATCTCCTTAGAAACACAGTCTTTTTGACAGAAAAAGGGGGGATCTGAGGATCGCTTAGAACCCGATTTTCCCAATTCGTGGGGGGATCATGATGATCGCTTAAGTCCCCATTTTATTAGACATGCATTTCTTTATAAAGAGTCTAAATAAGTATTGTATTGTATTGTATTGATTTAAATTATTGAAAATAATCAATAAGATTAACAATTAAGTAAATTATTGTACAAACAAATAAATTACTTTAACAAAATAAAAATTACAAGTGATGATAAATAATATGTACATTGTGGTCGTTCCAAACGTCTCTTGAACGATGATTGGCTTGATCATATAAAATAGTCGGATCAATCGGTCCTTGATCAACATAATATCGTTGATTGTATATATCAACATCCGGCCCAACCTACGATAGCATAACAACAACATAAATCAATTATTATATAAATTAAATAAATCATTATAACAACAACAACAATTGGGTAAAATGAGTACGTATCGCTTGATAATCATCATAGTAAATACCCTCATTTTGGATAAAATCAGCCATTTTTTTAGAATCCGGACAGAGATTCGACGGTTTTTTAGTGAAAACCAAAGAAATTTTTTTTGAAGGCAGGTCGGACTTAGCCGCAACCAACAAAACAACTAATTCTATGGCCCCATTTAGTATAATTTTTATCTTGTTGTGTTTTATCAAGGTTGTGCCAACAGAAAAGCAACACAACACCAACACAACTTAAATCAACAACGTGTTTATCTCAAAAAATTCACAAATTTCGGAACACCAAAAATGCATACAAAACATGTTTACTTCTGTTGTTCTCCTTCCATTTCAGAATAAAAAAAAAACAGATCTAGGAAATCTGGTTCGTCCTCGCCGCTGCCTCCGAACAGCCCAATGCCGCCGATTTGCCGGAGAAGAAGACCGGAAAAGAGAGGGAAGTCGTTGCCGCCTCCTTCCAACAACCCGACACTGCCGCCTCCTTGACTCGCCGGAGACAGATTCTTTTTGCGCAACGCCACTTCCCAGAGAAGAAGATAAGAAAAGGAAAGGAAAGTTTCCTCCCGACCCCGCTCCTGTCCCAATAGCTCGCCGCCGCCGCTTCCCTATCAGCCTGGAGAAGCAGATGGAGAACGGGAGAAAAAGATGGAGAGCAGGAGATGATTTTGGGGGAAGTTACAGAGACAGGGATGGGTGTGGGGGAATGGGGAAAGTGACGGAGAAAGAGAAAAATAATAATAAAAAAAGAAATGGCTTAAGTGAAAAGAAAATCACGTACGCAACCATGAGATAAAACTGCCATGAAGCCATCTTTTATTGTTTTGCTGATTTGGGCTTGGTTATTAAAAGTTGTTGAACTAAAGTCCACAACAAAAATAAAAAACCCAACTAAATATGTTTTCTTTTCTTGGTTTCTACAATTCTTAAAACCACAACAGAAAACAAAAACACACAACAATACTAAACAGGGCCTTAAGATTTTTGGGTGAGGAGGGGGTAGGTAGTGAGGAGTTAGAGAGAGAGGGGGTGAATGAGGTTTGGTGTGGAGAAAATGGGAGGGGGTTTATATAGGGACGAAACCGCGTGCTGGAGGGGCGGTTTCGTCTTTTTACCCCATCTAAAACCGCGCCTCCAGCTCGCGGTTTACGTTCCCCAACAGTCAAACCGCGCTTCAGGGGAGCAGTTTGACTGAGCGACGCGGATCGCTGAGCTGGCGCAGATCGCTCCCCCATCGCGCGGTCGCATGAACCGCCACGTGGCAACGCGATTTGACAACCAGGAACAGTCAAACCGCCTGTGGAACGCGCGGTTTGACTGTTAACCGCGCCTTCGAGGCGCGTTTTGGTTTATAACCGCGCCTTCGAGGTGCGTTTTGTGTGGAAGGGTAGTATTTTTGGAAATTGTTGAGTACGGGTGGTATTTTTGTAATTTTTTTATAGTGGTAGTTTTGGATTTTTTCCGGGCTGATGGAGAAGAGGAAAAGAACAAGACAATCTAAAAAAGTTGTTTTTTTAATGAATATAATTAAATTTAAATTTCACCCTGACATGTCACGTAGACGAAGGCACTCGTGGCCACAAACGATGGTTTGTCCATATAGCCGTCATTACAGTTTCGTTACATTAATGGACGAAATGACTATTTTTGTGTGTTTTTTTAAATTTGGTTGTTTTTTCAAAAAGTGTAAAGTTATGGATATGAAAATGTATTTTCTATTTTGCCTTTAAATTATGTGTAGTTGAATAATATCAAATAGCAACTTAACCACATAGTCCCCAACCCTATTTGAACTTTTGTTTTCTCATATCAAGTTTGGCTCTCAGGCTCAGACCTGTATAAAAGGAAGCAATAACATGGGTCACACCTCACAAGTCACACGTGACTTTCGTTTGCGAAATGGACAGATAAGGACAGTCTAGTCACGCCAAAAATGCATTGGATTTGGGCTTGTCAAAATTGTTTGTTAAGATAGTTATTTATTCAGATCTAAGCCCATGACCCAACACATTGCGATTTCTCATTTCTGCTCACTTGAATTTCTTTTTGGTATTTATTTAAACTGTTTTTCCTTTTTAGTGAGTTAATTTCATTATTATTTTGCTCCCTTGTTTTACCTGACCTCGACAGCTTCCCTCCTCTTTACACCGGCGGTCGACGTCCCCCCGCTTAAGGGGAAAAAACACAACCGCATTATATAACGGAAAATGAAACCCTAGACCTTCAGATCCATTCCGAATCCCAATTCCTCCTCTTCAGACCACCGTTGAAGCTTAGAGCTCCTCATTTGGAAGGCGAAGGTTCGTATGATTTCTACAAATTCGGTAGTGCAGGTGGAGTTCAATTACTTACTCTGAATCTCAGTTGCTTCGCTTCGCTTCAGCTGGGTTAGTGGGTAATGTGAAGTTTTTGGGTTGTTTCTGAATTCAATTTAGTCTTATCAGTTTGCTGTCGGAAAGACACTGCTGCTGGATACTTAAAGAAATTTAAGTTTGCTCCAGACGGCAGCCGAGGAAAGCGCCAAAGAGGAAGAACACAATATATATGGGTGACGATTTCTGGTCCAGTAGCGATGAGAAAGCCATGGTGGAGTCTGTATTGGGTAGTGAGGCTTGTGAGTTCTTGATTTCCTCGGCTTCCAGAGCTTCATCCACGGAATTGGTTACCGCACCCGGCAATCTGGGCTTGCAGCAAGGCTTGCTTCAACTCGTGGAAGGTTCTGAATGGAACTATGCTATCTTTTGGCATGCCTGTGGCTTGAAGTCTGGTGGGTATGTGTTGACCTGGGGTGATGGGATCTGTGGTGATCCGAAACGCGCTGGGGAAGATAAATCTGCTGGTCGTAAGCTGGACGGAGGGGAGAAGAGGGAAGAGGGGAAGAAGCGTGTGCTTCAGAAGCTGCATTCACTCTTTAAAAGAACCGGTGAGGGTACTTATGTGGATAGCTTGGGTGGAGTTTCTGAGGTCGAGATGTTTTACCTTGCATCAATGTATTTTCGGTTCTGGTCTGATTCTGCGGTGGGTTATGGTCCTCTGGAATCATATAGGTCTGGCAGATCGATTTGGGTTTCCGAAAGGGCTAATTGTTTGAAACATTATCAGTTGAGATCCGGTCTCGCTGGGACTGCTGGGTTCCAGACTGTGGTGTTTGTACCAGTCAAATCTGGTGTTTTAGAGCTTGGTTCAATCAAGCCAATCCTTGAGGACTCTGATCTTGTGAAGAGGGTAAGGGCCATGTTTGGAAAATGTAATGACTCTTCCCAGTTGAAGACATGTCCTAAGATATTTGGCCGTGAGTTAAGCCTAGGTGGTTCAATGCCAAGGTCGATGAGCATCAGCTTTTCGCCAAAGGTTGAAGATGAATTGGTTTTCAATTCAGAGTCTTATACAATACAACAGCTGAGTACTGGTCAAGTTTATGGAAGTACTTCGAATGGCTGCCCTGGTGAAAGCAGTGAGGCAAAATTATTTCCGCCGATGAACCAAATGCTTGTTCCCAGTTCCGGTGCTGACTTAGTGATCACTGGATTGGAGCAGGGTAAAGAGGATTTGTCACCTTTGGGCGATGAGCGGAAACCTAAAAAGAGAGGAAGGAAGCCTGCCAATGGGAGAGAAGAGCCGTTGAATCATGTTGAAGCAGAGAGGCAGAGGAGGGAGAAGCTTAATCAGAGGTTCTATGCTTTGAGGGCTGTTGTTCCAAACATATCTAAGATGGATAAAGCATCTCTTCTTGGTGACGCCATTACATATATCAATGATCTCCAGATGAAGATTAAGGTTATGGAAGCTGAGACAGGGATGGGAAGCAACAAGCACAGTAGTGTGGTTAACCCGGAGATCGATTTCCAGCAGAGGCAGGACGATGCAATAGTGAGGGTGAGTTCTTCTCTGGCCGATCACCCGGTTGGTAGTGTGATTGAAAAGTTCAGGGAACATCAAGTTGCAGCCCAAGAATGTAATGTATCCTCATCCGAAGATGGCAGGATTGTTCATACATTCTCAATCCGGACTCAGAGTGGAGCTGCTGAACAGCTAAAGCAGAAACTGGAAGCTGCCCTTTCCAGTGAATGATACGTCTGTAAAAGATTGGTGTAGAAAATCTCAGTTCAACCCCTTCATTTCCTGGGGATAAGAAGGGAATTGAGTGTCTAGCTTTCCTACTGCCCAAGTCATGTATTCACAGCTGGCAGCAGTGATGATTTATGTATGTACTCTCTAATCTTGTTGTTGTTGAGTTTAATTAGATGCAAATAGGAATCCTGTTTATGCTCTTATAGTTTGATGTAAATGTTTAAGCTCTTTAACCTTTCTGAATCAGAAAACTTAAAATGGTTCCTCATTTGAACCTCGTAAAAGTCTGTAACTAACTTTTCTGCAGATGTTATCACGAGAATTCTCGTTTACTGACAAATGACAATGCGCCCAGGATATTGATCAATTTGAAGTTGTTTTCTATGCTGTTGTTTCTGAGAGCTGTTCGATTGTATTTGTGGGCTTCAGCTGTTGGGCTGTTGCTTTACTATTATTGTTAGCACACTGTAACGTGTAAACTGTAACTTGAGGCGGCTTGGGTTTGATGTGGTGATCATTTTTCTACGATCTTGACACGAGCATTGGTTGAACTCGATAGTAATGATCCTGTTGTTTTCCGCCTTTTGCCGTCTCACTCTGACTCAATTCCATGGTTTGGTTTATCCTTCTTTTCTCTCTGATTTGATGTGGTGGACAGTTGTGTGGTTTTGGACACCTGGGCGAATTGCAGGAACGGTTAATGGACCTAGCACTTATGCATACATGTAGGGGATGGCAACCGGTCGGTTTCGGTTTAACTGAAAACAGAAAAACTCGGTTATCGGTTAAACCAAAATACCGCACAAGGATGCCGACCAGCGACCGCGAGAGAGCCCCGGCTAACCGCCCACTGACCGGTCGGTTATCGGTTTTTTGTTTGGTTAGCTGTGGTAACCGACTCATGGCTGTCGCCGCAATAAATGCATATATAAAGCGCGTTTTTCCGGTCAAAATTAACTATGGTGGTGGGTTGGAAAGTAATTAATTAAAAATCAATTAATTTTGACTTTATTAATTGTGGTTACAATTTACCAAAATGAAAAAACGTGAATATTTAAAAGGAGAAGGAAAAGAGGAAGACGCGTTTCTCTGTCTCTCTCTCCTCAATCAATTCGCCTACTCTATCTCTGCCTCTCTCGTCCAATCCATTCCCCTTCTCTCTCCCCCCATCAACCCGTCAATTCCCCTCCTCTCTCTCTCTCTCGTCCCCTCCCCCCCGGTTGAATCTTTCTCTCTCCCGTTCTTCTCTCTCCCTGAAATCAACAATCAAATGCCAAAACCAACCGATCTGCCTATCTCCTTCTCTCATGGCCTCGATCAGTTCAATGACGGGCAAGGGCGGTTGTCGGCGCGATTGACAGCGAGGGTTGGGGAGCGGACGACGACTTGGGGCAGGAGAGCTAGGGAGCGGAGGAGGTCGTACGCGGTGTAGGCGACGTCGGGCAGTGAGGGAAGCCAGAGTTTTCTGGGTTTCTGGATGATGGGGTGGTGGATTAGGCGGCCGAAGGATTGGGGTTGGCGAGAGGGCTCGATTGAGACCGATTAATTTCGGCTAGCTCGTTAACCACGGTTATTCACCATCGGTTAGTCGGCTAGCCGAAAACTCCCTCGGACTCACCGACCGACCTTAATAACCGAAGATTTTCGGTTAGCTACTAACCGACGGTTTTCGATCAAAACCGGCGGTTAGCCGCTACCCGGAAATCGATATGCCACCCCTACATACATGTAATCAATCTGCTTATTCGAGAGATTGACGATCTAAAACAACAATATGCGATGGGGTGGGATACTATGCCTACCCTTAAAAGGTTGGATTTTTTACACCCTCTCTATGATTGATCAATTTTATTTTCAATCATTGGCAAGTATTAATTAAACTTGTTTTTTGTTTTTTTAATCTTGTAATTTGGGCATTAATTACTAATTGCGATCCCGGCGCTCATGCGACAGTTTAACCAACAGTATGAGGAATGAGTGGGTCTACCAGCGGACCAGACGCCTCGGGTACGAACCCCGATAATACACTCTACAGCACAAGTGGATGATTCCCATCTGGTTTGCATGTGGGATGGCGCGACGAAGGGTGGGTCTCATTCGGCCGGTGGGATGGTTCTTTTTAACTCAGCGCGGACACTCCTTCTGGCTAGAGGGGTCCAATTTGCTCAAATAGATGATCCTGCTGTGGTGGAATTACTTGTGCTTAGGGAAGCCATTATTTGGTGTGTGGAGCGAGGTTTGTCGGAGGTCCGATTTGAAGGGGATGCGAAGGTGATTATTGACAAAATTAATCAGGCCGAAACAAGAGATAGCCGGTTGGGTGCTGTTCTGGAGGAGATTGATCATTATTTTCGTGCTCAGCCTGGCTTTAGTGTGCGTTTTGTAGGCCGGGAGAACAATAGGGTAGCTCATTTGGTAGCTAGGAAAGCCCTTTCTTTGTATCCGACTACGAGTCGCTTCTTTGATTTCCAGACCTGGCTGGTTTCCAGGGTGTAACTATCTTTTGTTTCGATCAATATATTATATCTTTTGACAAAAAAAAAACCCGATTGGGTTCTCTCACCCACATTGAAAAGTGGAACAATTTGGGGAACGAAAATAAAAGCATTCCCCCCAAATTCACAATTAATTGCCATTTTGATGCAAGCGAGCTTCCCAGCTTGACGAGTTTCAGAATGGCGCAGCTATGGAACAACGAGCAACCTTGATCGGCGGATTAAGGGTTTTGCTCGATTAAAGGGGTGGAATGGGTTGTAAACCTAATCAGCAACCTTAACACTAGGGAAGGAACTAATGAAGGGTAAAATTTATCAACTAATCAAGGGGAGTACTTGATTAAGATGATCTGCAATTCTCGGCCAAAAAGACCCAGAACAAGTGATCGCAAGCTTTTGGGAAGAACTCCTCGGAGTAACTTTAATTAATCTCAACAACGTGTCTTTACAATGATTAAAGTAAAGCTTTTATAGCCAAAAGAACAAAAAACAAAACTACTTTAACAAGGAAACAACTTAAAACAGAATTGGTAAAAGAATTCTACTCTAATAAGGAATCTTCAAGCTCAAGAAATCCACATTGCACAAGGAATTCTGCCTTCCTTCCAACGTTGCACATCCAGTCTCCATCATAACTTTGAGCTCGTAGGAAATGGACTTCTAGGTTGAGTCGAACTCAGCCAATTCCTTGTCGTGGCTTAGAAAGTTGCCTTCTTTCATCTCCAACTCGAACCTCCAACTGGTCATGCCCCAAACGTCTTGAATTCGAGCTCAAAGTTGGTATTTCAAACTGTCTCCCTGCCTTAGCCAAAAATTGGCGATTTCCAAAATGCTTGATAGGTTTTTGATGGCGTTGAAAAACTGGCTTGCGGTAGGGATCCTCCTGCTAGAACTCTGTTGCTTCAATTGCTTCTCAACCTTGGCGGCAAGCTGGACAACTTCTTCAATTTCCACGAATGGGAAGAGCTCGACCTGGTTTTTGATCTCTCTTCGAAGGCCTTGCAAAAAGCTGCTGATCGTCGCTTCCTTGTCTTCCCTAATGTCAGCTCGGATCATCTGGAGATCCATCTCTCGGTAGTACTCTTCAACACTCTTGCTTCCTTGACGAAGTAATTGCAGAGTGCCGTGGAGGTCACTTTGATAGTACAAGGGTACAAACCGATCGATCCCTCATCAAGATCCTCAACACCATCCAGGTAGTTATGGGTGGCAGACCGATTCTTCTTCGCTTAATGCGAACTTGCTCCCACCACGCCGCCGCGTAGCCTTCAAACTCGTAAGAGACAAGCTTGATCTTCTGCTCGTCGGTGTAATTATGGCAATCGAAGAACAGGAGCACCTTCCGTTCCCAATCCAATTAGTCAAAGGGATTGAGGCTACCCTGAAACGAGGGTATGCTAAGCTTAATTCCACGGAGCTCGTCAAGGACCCCTGTTTCTGGCGGTCATCGATCGTGAATGTGAAACTCACGATTCGATTCACGATGTCCATCTCCAGCGAGAATCAATTGGTGCTCCAGATTCTGAATTCGTGTGTTCAGAGCCTGGGGGCTCTATTCGTCTTCAGGGATCGTGGCCTGCCTCGTCGGCGACTTGGGCTCGGCCATCGCTGTCGCTGTCGACTTCAGCTCTGCTAATTGCTTGTTGATGTTGTCGAACTGCACTTGGAACGTGGCGTTCATCTGCGCCATTATCGTTTGTAGCAACTCCGTTGTATTAATTTGTTCCGCCATGGTTGATTCTTGAACTTCAATGTTCTCGTCGCACTCAGAGTCGGACTCTGCTTCTTCGGGTTCCCTTAGATCAATAGGATCCTTCATTCTCTTTCGAGCTGCAACAGGGCGAACATCCTCCTGCTTCTTCTTCGTCTTGGTGCAAGCTAGCTTCCCAGCTTGACGAGTTTCAGAATGGCGTAGCTATGGAAAAACGAGCAACCTTGATCGGATTAAAGGTTTTGCTCTATTAAAGGGGTGGAATGGCTTGTAAACCTAATCAACAACCTTAAGACTAGGGAAGGAGGCTAATGAAGGGAAGAATTTATCAACTAATCAAGGGGAGTACTTGATTAAGATGATCTTCAATTCTCGGCCAAAAAGACCCAGAACAAGTGCTCGCAAGCTTTTGGAAAGAACTCCTCGAAGTAACTTTGATTAATCTCAACAACGTGTCTTTACAAGGATTCGAGTAAAGCTTTTATAGCCAAAAGAACAAACAACAAACCTACTTTAACAAGGAAATAACTTAAAACAGAATTGGTAAAAGAATTCTACTCTAATAAGGAATCTTCTAGCTTAAGAAATCCACTTTGCACAAGGAATTTTGCCTTCCTTCCCACGTTGCACATCCAGTCTCCATCCTAAATTTGAGCTCGTAGGAAATGGACTTCTAGGCTGAGTCAAACTCAGCCAATTCCTTGTCGTGGCTTAGAAAGTTGCCTTCTTTCATCTCCAACTCGAATCTCCCACTGTTCATGTCCCAAACGTCTTGAATTCGAGCTCAAAGTTGGTATCTCAAATTGTCTCCCTGCCTTATCCAAAAACTGGCGATTTCCAGAATGCAGGATAGGTTTTTGATGGCCTTGAAAAAAAACCCTTCTGACCTGTTTCCACGATCCAAATGCATCAAACTATAGAGGAACATCCAATGTTCAAATTAAGACCCTAAACTTGCATTTCCATTGAGATAAACACCCCTCCAAAGTACCCTTCCCAAAACTGTCTCAACACTTAGACAATTTCCAGCATGTTCGTATTAACTTGACCCGATCTTTGAACGATTTGTTTGAGTTGACACGAGGGTGGAATTGAGATCATATCAGGCCCCCTTCTTTAAAAAGCTTTGACCTCAAAGCTTGAGTCATCCTGCAATCATAACGATAGAGAAAATCGTCCCAAACGGGATCGTGAAAAGTCAGTGTCATTACTTCCTTTTCCGGCGAGTCACGATTTTCCGATGACCCCTTAGAAATTGGGGCTTTCCGTTTAACGACGTCTCGGACCAATTCCTTGCTCTCATCAGTCCCCTGAGCTCCCACGAAGCGAATTCAATCATTCTCTGGCGTTGAGGTTGCGCAAGCCGCCTTGAATTGAGTCCCGAATTTTTCCCGCCACCGGAGAATTCAAAATTCCCAGTTTCCGGCGACGAGTTCCCAGAATTTGGCGAGGCGAGTTGAATATTGGGCGTTTCTTCCACAGCCTTGCCGGTCCAATTTTCCGATTCCTACACATTCCCTAAACCCTTGAAGAAGTGGATCCCAAGCTATGGATTGCTTCGATCCGTGCCAGAACTCCTCAACCGATTCAACCAATTTTTTTTCGCGGCCGTTTTGTGGCGAGGAAAATTTTCGAATTTGGAATTCGTTGAGGCAGCTTGATTCATCGAGTTCTTGCCAGTTTCACACGTTGCGGGGTGAATTTCCAACGTGTATCACTGCACTTAAACTCATAATATGGTATATGTACCACTGCACTGATAGCGATATTAATGCACTAGTATAAATGTCAGATGTGAGTATTAGTCCAGTGGTACAAATACCAGTGCACTGGTAGAAATGTCAGATGTGAGTACCAGTGTAGTGGTACAAATACCAGTGTAGTTGTACTTTTTTTAATATAGTAGTATATTTTTATGCAGTGGCCGGAGAGTCTGCCGGCTGGATTTCACCGGCGAAGTGTGGCGGTCGGAGGAAACTTGGTGGTCGAAGGCTGTCGGGAAAGGAAAAATCAGAAAGAGAGAAAATTGTATTTAGTGTAGGTTTAAATTAGAAAAAAGTAAATAATTAATATGGATTTCAATGTGTAATTAATGGGTTTTAAATTTGATGAAAATGCATTAAATGATAGGGATGTCATTTTTCCAACCAACTCGCTTATGGGTTGAGCATGCTAACCGCTCCAATATGCGATTTGACCTTGTGCTTGTCTCCTTTTATTTTCCGAAGGTTTCATGATCGCCCTTGCTATTATAGTTGTCGATATTGGCTTGGAATTAGTTTTAATTATTCCGATCCGTTGAGGTCGGTTTGGCAAAATATATCATAAAGATGAAAAAAAGCAATACCTGTATATCTTTTCATAGAATTGAAGAGCTCCATCAATTGTTGCTTCATTTGGGTATTATAATACCTGTATAATTGCTAGCCATTTTCAAAGATGAGTTGGGGTAAGCCGTAAGCTTGACCACACCTCCTTTATGGAAGTGACAAGGTTGAGAATTTTTTTTGAAGGTAAGCTTGATACTTCAACGGGGTAACAACAGAGCTCTACATATGAAGCTTCTTTTGAGCACTTTGCTTTTAAGTATTATTGGTGCTTTAATGTACAATTTAAAATTGTATCATAACATTAAATGTATAAGTTCAGACTGTACCATAAAGTAATTTATACCCTTATGTTATGGTACACCTTGAAGTTGTACCATCACATAAATTTATAAGTTCAAGTTGTACCATAAAAAAAATTGTACAAAAGAGTATAGGTACAATATAAAATTATACTACAACATTAAAGATACAACTTCTAATTGTACCATAAAAACAAAAACTTATAACACCAATACTATATAACATTATAAAATTCCCCGCTTCTCTTTAGTCTCTTATACAATAATAAACCCGCGGCAAAACACGACATCACAACCTAGTAGATATTAAACCAGAAGAAAAACATACATGGTCGTAAACCAAAAATCCCAATTCAAAAACGAAGATAAGAGATGATAAAACGCCCCATGCATGCAACTTAAAAGGGTGACACGTAGAGCTACATTTGCTTGAACGGGGAAGAGGATAAGGAAGAAAGAAAGTTTCAATTCGTCCAACGCTTGTAGTCTCACGAGCCATGACTTGACTTCTTACGATATATATTTTTTCTCATTGGAGATTCAACTCTTGAAAATTATTGGGTGAAAAGACAAACAAGCAAATAAAATGATAAAGCAGAGGTTTCAAAAGAATTGATTCAGTCCTACTGCTGTCTGCATGCCTTCTCCACACGGTACTGTGTCATCATTTATTTCGCGACCATAACTTTAGTATTAACACGCTCATTCAGATAGAGCAACCCGATTGCGGATAACATGAATAATCTGGTTGGTTATTAATCATACAGATTTTCCTAACTGATTTGAAGAGCTATATATATATGTATGTTAACTTAAAATTCAAATTTATTTAAAAAGGAAATTAAATTAATTGCCCTCTTCATATTTTTAACAAAAAATCACTTGTGTCAAGTAAGAAACCAATCCAGATATACAGATATAATTTCCGGCTATAACCAATCTCAGAATTGAAACCCATAACCAGTCGAGTCCACTGAGGTCCTTAAAATTTTACTAACATAAATGCTTGTGTACCTAATGAATTTTGATTTAACCGAGGTCCTTGGTGAGCTAACATCGTTGAGAGTATGGGGTCCTAAACTTGAATTATCGTACTAAAACCTATGTATTTAAAGGGTTTTGTTGCCCAATTATTTGCCAAGTGGGGTCCTAGGACCCCTCTCCTCCTTACCTCCCTCCGCCACTGCCCATAACTGTTGAGTTATATGTTGCCTGTTATATGTTGCCGTTTTGTATAGGGCCTTGATCGTAGCATTAGGCCCATTAGTATCATAGATTGTTGGAGTGAGGCTCGGCTAGGGTTGTTGATGTACAACCGAGTTCTCTGTATATAGGTGGCTGGGTTTTGGAGTCGAAGACACAGAAGAATAAGAAAGAACGGCACTTCCCGTGGACTAGTCTTGTTCGATCATATCGAACAAGGAAACCACGTAAATCACGTCTCTTTTCTGTTTCCGCATCTGTTACGATAATCTCCGTTCCGTTTAACATGGTATCAGAGCTTGCCATGGATTCCGATAGCATCAACACCAGGCTGAATTCGAAGAACTTCGCACTTTGGGAATTCCAATTCCGTACGTTTATCGAAGGTCAAGGATTCTTTGGTTTCCTTGATGGTACGACCGCAAAACCGACTGTCCCTCCTGCCACCGATCAAGAGGTCTTGAAGTGGATGCAATCAGATGCTAGGGTTCGCTCCTGGCTTCTGAAATCGGTGGATCCAACGATTGTACTCGGGTTGCGGCTTCTTCCCACGTCGGCTGAGATGTGGAAGGCGCTGCGAGATACATACGCCACCACCAGTGTAGCACGCCAATTCGATATCGAAGTAGAGTTGGGCAATCTTCATCAGGGAGACAAGGATGTTACGACGTACTTCAACGATGCAAAGCTTCTTTGGACTGAACAGGATCTCTTGGCCGCCAGTCTTCTCACAGTGCCGCATCTGCAGAAGTTAGGGCCGAGAAGAATAAGACTCGAATTCTCCAGTTCCTTGTTCGCCTCCGTCCCGACTACGAGTCTGTCTGATCCACCTTGTGGAACCGAGAAGGGCTGCAACTCGAACAGGTTTTGGGCGCTCTCATTCGCGAAGAAACCCGGCTGCGCACTCAAGCCACCCTTGATGCTCGTCCCGGTCATGGTGACCCTGCTGTCTTTGCTGTGGAAAAAGGGAACTCATTCCATGAGCAGCCTTCTTCCCACAGTTGGAGCGTTCCAATCACACTAGCGGTGGAGGCGAAGTTGCTTCAGAAGCTGCCTTTGCAGCGTATCGTTCTGTCCAAGCCCGCCGGGAAGTCGAATGTCATCACTGCCATGCTCGAGGACACACCAAAAAATACGTGATTTACGTGATTTCCTTGTTCGATATGATCGAACAAGACTAGTCCACGGGAAGTGCCGTTATTTCTTATTATTCTGTGTCTTCGACTCCAAAACCCAGCCACCTATATACAGAGAACTCGGCTGTACATCAACAACCCTTGCCGAGCCTTACTCCAACAATCTATGATACTAATGGGCCTAATGCTACGATCAAGGCCCTATACAAAACGGCAACATATAACTCAACACCCTCCCCCAAATTGATGGGGAGGTCTCAACATCAATTTGCTAGCTAAATAGGAATGTCGACTAGCAGTGAAAGCTTTTGTAAACAGATCTGCGAGTTGATCTTCGGAGGCAACTCGGGAGGTCTCAACATCAATTTGCTAGCTAAATAGGAATGTCGACTAGCAGTGAAAGCTTTTGTAAACAGATCTGCGAGTTGATCTTCGGAGGCAACTCGAACAAGCTTGTTGAGTTATATGTTGCCTGTTATATGTTGCCGTTTTGTATAGGGCCTTGATCGTAGCATTAGGCCCATTAGTATCATAGATTGTTGGAGTGAGGCTCGGCTAGGGTTGTTGATGTACAGCCAAGTTCTCTGTATATAGGTGGCTGGGTTTTGGAGTCGAAGACACAGAAGAATAAGAAAGAACGGCACTTCCCGCGGACTAGTCTTGTTCGATCATATCGAACAAGGAAACCACGTAAATAACGTCTCTTTTCTGTTTCCGCATCTGTTACGATAATCTCCGTTACGTTTAACAATAACACCCTATAGCTAAGAAACAAAGTGAGCTCTTTTTTAGTCACTATATGGACTACCCCTATTATTTTGTCTGCCTACAAACAGAAAGCTCAACTCCGGAAACAACACTCGCAAATTATGAATTTCCTCGTAAATAGCCCCTCCTCTAGAATCCCGAGGACTCCTGCCTGGATTTTAACAATCACCATCTTTGCATCACCTTCAGATGCAGAAATTAAACAACCCCGCCTATGTATACCACCTTACTACATATATATACACCATTGAATTTTCGCTAATCACATTTATTTCTTCCAACGAACTAGTTCGACCATTTAAGTAGATGGGGAAGTAAGTATACGTACATATTACATGCATATATAAAACATTTCGTAAGGTCGGCGCCGGTTACGTCCGTCAAAGACTGTTGATCGAACCGCGTGAGTACTCTACTTTGGGTGGTTTTATTGATCAATTCCACAACGTACTCACAGCCGGCCCAATCAGATAAGAAAATTTATTATTAAAAATCAACCGTTGGTTCGAGTGACCCTAAAGCAGTCAAACCCCTAACCCCTTACTCGTCCACAAATCACCAACCTCCCATCTATATAAACAAATACTCTCCCCACGTACTTTTCATCACTAACCTCATTCCTTCATTCGTTTCGTTGCCAGAGTCGAAAGCACCGCTAAATTCCCAAAAAAAATCAAAACAGTAAATACTTCTCCATTTTCTGGTAATCTGCTCATCCAAGACACAAAGAGAGCAAAGCAGCAAAGGGCCGTATAATATTCGTCAGTGACGTGCTAGACTTCGTCGGTTCACGTTTCAGATATATACTTGGGTTTTTCGACGTCTCTCAAAGGAAGATGAGAAGGAGCGTGGTTTTCTCAGTCTTGCTGCTGGCTTTGGCCATTTTCTCGGCTTCCTGTTTCCAGCTAGCTGAAATGAGGCCGCTCAAGGAAGGTGGTGATGGTGATAATTATTCATTGCTGTTACAGTCCCTGCAGAAGGGTCCGGTGCAAGGGTCGGGTCCCAATCCATGCACCAACATCCCCGGCCGGAACCAGGGAACCTGCACACGTGCTGTGGCTGCGATGAACGTCGCCGGCGATGTATTCGCCCGATCGCCGCAGCCGCCTCTTGCAGCTTCTCGTATCGCCGTTTCTAGTCGTCCACAATTTTCTTGGAGTTCTTGACCTTTTTTTTATGCATGGTTTCATTTTATGAATAGTTGTTGGCCATTATTCATGCTAACAAATCGTGTGAGTTCTGTGATTTAATTTATTTATTCCCTTTGATGTAAAAAAGAAAATTAAAATTAGATTCTTATAATGCTTCATTTTTTTCTTCTCTGTACTACATTTTGTATACATAGATATAATGGGATTGTTCACAACCTAGCCATTTCATGAAATAAATGCATATATTTCTCCAATATAATATGAGCACTTCTACTATGCTATATAGTATTGGTGCTTTAATGTACAACTTAAAGTTGTACCATAACATTAAATGTATGAGTTTAGGTTGTACCATAAAACAATTTGTACCATTATGTTATGGTACAACTTTGCAACTTGAAGTTATACCATCACATAAAGGTACAAGTTCAAGTTGTACCATAAAAGAATTTGTACAAAAAGTATAGGTACAATCTGAAGTTATACCATAACATAAATGTACAATTTTAAGTTGTACAATAAAGACAAAAACTTATAGCACCAATACTATATAGCATTGTAAAATTTCTCATATAAGAGACCTTCCCGTGCTTATTTGGACATTATTGAGTTGAATGATAATTAAATATGAACCTCATTTTACCTTACATAGATGAAGGATTAATATATGAATTTATGCTCTAGTATATATGTCCCATCTCCCAAGTACAAAAACGGTCAGTCGGATCAGAAGCTTGTCAATTACTAACGCTGCTATGTCGATGCTTGGGGTTTAAGCAACATAACTCGATGGACCAGTTTCAAGGTTTCTGTTTTTGAAGGGTAGCACAAAAGTGTGCCCCTTGGGGTTACGTGGACAGAGTAAGTGACTAGAACAACTAATGTACATGTACTCAGGTGATTCTTAGTTCAGTTGGGCTAAATTACAAGTTTGGTCATTCAAATTATACAAATTTTTCATGTTTGCCACCCAAATTACTTTTCTTTCTTATTCGCCACTAACTTTACGAATCGTTTCACCGTTAGTCATCGGCCGTTACACTCCGTTAAATTTGTCCTACGTGGCAATCAACTATAAAGTTTGACCGTTAACTAGATGACGTGGAAATAAAAAAAAAATATTTTTTCACTTCATCATTTCACTTACTTTGATTTATCAATTATTTAATAAAAATTAATGAAATTAAAAAAATTAACTGTCGGCAAGAGGAAGAAATGGAAGAGGCCGCCATTGATTTGCACTATTGCTTCTCCGAGATGTCCCATTACTTCTTCGGGTTGGAGAATCCCCACGAGTATCAGCCAAATGTTCAGACGAACAATCCACCGTCGATTCGATCCTCCCAAACAACCACCGTTGGCTCGCGATTTGTCACCTTCCTCGACCCACATTTCTTCAGCTCCGATAAGGCCTCATCGGCCCAATAACCTGGAATTGAAAGCCCGAACATGGGGAGCGAGGCTGACGGGGTAGGTGAAGTAATCGAACCCAAAGAGAGCGGAAGAGGCCAGCGTAGAAGTGGACGACGCCAACGGGAATACACTGGCCAAAAGAGCGTAACCTGTAGAACGGAAATTGAAAGCAGCAGCCACCGCAAAATCAAAAGAGCCCAAAAGAAATCCGGTCACAAGACAAATCCCTCTCTTTCTCCGGTCAGCGGCGGTGTAAAATCCCTAACTCTCTCTTGATCTCTCCTCGGAGACGATGTCGAAGAACGACGATGGAGAATGAACCAAGATGTTGAAGGCTATAAAAATGACCAAGATGTTACATTTGGTCGGGCACTTTGATCCATCCTCACCGTCGTGCCGCCCCCGAGCATCCTCGTCAGTCGTCACATCAGGAATCCGTCGTGCACAGTAGGATTGCATTGGTCGTCCTGTTCGGAAAAACAAGCCAAGCTTCGTCGAATAGAATCTTTCTTCCTCCATCGGTTGCGTCGGCGGGGGATTTTCTACCGCCTCCATTTACAGCAAAATATTGATTTTCTCTTTAGTTTTGGTTCTTGCCTTCTAACACTTTTTCTCTTCCCATCTTATGATCCTTCTGCCGACCCTCCGCCACCATTTTCCGCAAATCAATTTCAATAAAGAAACCATCCAGAATGGAAGTCTCCACCACCGTCTTGTGTCAGTTATCACAGCTTTGCACGAACATAAATGTTTTCTCTCTGCAATTTCTTCCGCCGAGAATCTATAAAATATATAAAGGCTTTTCCAAAAACTACCTTCACCATTTCAAAATTCCAGCCCTCCTACGCATCCACGTCAGCACCCTTCCGACCAATCAGATTTTTTCTTAACTCCTTTTTTTTATTTTAAGTTTTTCTATACCCCAATCAGAATGTGCCACTTAACTCTCTCTCTCTCTCTCTCTCTCTCTTATTTTTAAATCTCCCCTACTACTCTTAATTGATTCATATTTATTTCGCTTCAACTCCAAATTTAAATATTATTGCGCGAAAAAATAAGATTTTATGTGATCTACACAAGGATATCCATTTTGATATATATTTTTTTTAAACATAGCCACAATCATATATATACAAGGCATGTTCCTATTCGATAGTTGCGAAACTATATCAATATCATTCAATTGTACCGCCATAAAGTATATACTAACATAGATCGCAGAACAAATTTCTTATTCTACTGAGTTACTAAATAATATCAATGTTTAATTTTGTAATATCATAATAATAATGCACAACAATTTCATGGGTGCTAAAATATTGTCGTGCAGTACAAACTAATTTACCTTAAAAAAAATCATTTAGCGGCCAACTGGTCGGACTCAAAGGTATACACGATTTGAAATGAGAGAGGACAATGACAGACTGAACAAAATAGACACCTTAGGAGGAAAAAGTTACCAAAGTACATATTTCAAACAAAATTTACCCGGCCAACGGACCGGGTACCAAACTAGTTTAAGCTTTATAATTTAATTAATTTCTGTTAAATAATTAATATGATAAATCATATAGAAAAGTGAAGTGGAATAATGAGGTGGAAAAATAATTTTTTATAATTTTTTTAATTCCCACGTCATCTACTTAATAGTCAAACTTTATAGTTGACTGTCACGTAGGATAAATTTAATGGAGTGTAACGGTCGGTGACTAACGGTGAAATGATTCGTAAAGTTAGTGGCGAATAAGAAAGAAAAGTCATTCGGGTGGCAAACATGAGTTGTATAATCTAAGAGACCAAACGTGTAATTTAGCCGTTTAGTTGGTGATCCTAAAACACTAGGTTGTTTCCAAATGTTCCGCAGAATCTGAGTACATGGCTCTAGCATATACAACACAAAGTGCTCCAATTGACAACCTTCCTATTCGAACAACTTTATCTTCAACCAAAACAACCTTACAGAAGTTATTGTAACAGTCTCTTTGCTCAAAATGACAGTAAATCGAATACAACATGCTACAATTAAACATATCGAAATCGATTGTCATTTTGTAAGCCCAATTCCCGTAGGTCACTAGGGAATATTGTGGCCCAAGTGTAATTATCACTTAATGGTTTAATATATAAGGTAAATCCTATATTGATTAGGTTAATGAAAGGTAAATTCCTAATATGCCCTGATGGTCGGTCTATATAAAGAAGCTCTAGGATTGGTCCTCTCTCAACCCATTACGTAGAATTTCTTAGCCATCACAGAAATCTCTAAACCTAAAACCTAAAGGGGTCAAGAGGGAGAAACTCAATTCCGGTGATTACTGCTCCAGCGCCGCCGCCGCTCTCGTCATGGATCGAGGTAAGTTTCCCCGATCTATTATCGATTCGTGAAATCATCTAATTCTAAGATCCATGCTATTATGATATATGTTTACATGTGGTATCAGAGCATTAGGTTTGCATGAATAGATGATTTTCGCTTACGTATTTTATTTCTGCTGCATCTGTGCGCCAAGCTCTGCGTATGAGAGCCATTAGCTTCGGCTTTGATAATTTTGTCCCTGTGTTTGTGAGGACATGCTTGATGGTAATTATTATAATAGAATAGAAACCCATTAATGAAATAGGTCTTGTTTCTTTGGGTGCAATTATATATGCTTGATCAAATTCCAATTCTATTTGCTTTGTCGATTATTGACAAGGTCTTGCTTCTGTGGGTGCAATTATATATGCTTGATCAAATTCCAATTCTATTTGCTTTGTCGTTTATTGACAAGGTCTTACTTCTGTGGGTGCAATTATATATGCTTGATCAAATTCCATCAGTTCTTTCTGGTTGCTATCTATTGGCTTCGGCTATAATATGTTTGAGTTTCCTTGATAATGAATTTGATCAGTTAAGCAATTATTATAATAGTAACCTATTAATGAGTCAAGTTTTGCGTATGTGTATTTGAGAATTATGATTAACAATTGCTTTGACTTGAGTTAAATTTCATCTTTGATATCTATGTTATGATTAATTTGTTAGTCACCAAAGTGGCCAAATTAGAAGGTTTATATATATCAAGTTGAATCAAGTTCAACTTCTAATGTTTATGTGATGCTTTAAAGTTGAAATTCGTGATTATGAAATATTTTGAATCGCCCAAAGGTTGATTGCTCGTTTTATAACTCATGAACATTATCGTGGTAATTTGATGTGCTTGGTTAGATATATTTAGTATATCCAAAGATTGCAAGTATATCTAATTTGAGTATGTCTATCACCAATTATATGATTATTTTGAGTATCAATTACGATTATTTATCGCATATATATTGTTGTTTTGCCGAAAGGTAGCACCAATATATGTTTTATGTTTATGTTTCCGAATCTGTTTTATAGTTTATTCTTATTACCCAAAGCATTAATGTGTGAGTACATGTTATATATGTTTGCAGCATCTGTTCATGTTTCTCTTCATTCGCAAGCCACGTCTGTTGTTAAATTTAATGGCCTCAACTTCTCTGAATGGGCTGAACAGGTTCAGTTTCACCTTGGTGTTCTGGATCTTGATTTGGCACTCTTAAGTGAGAAACCTGCTGCTCTTACTGATGCTAGCAGTGCTGAGGAAAAGTCTTTCCATAAAGCTTGGGAAAGATCTAACAGACTAAGCCTAATGTTTATGCGAATGACTGTAGCAAACAACATTAAGTCAACTTTCAATGATACTGAAAGTGCTAAGGAATTTATG